GGATGCCGGGTTCGATCCCAGCTGCGGGCCATGCGTCTTGCGTTGGTTTCGACAGTGGTATCAAGAAAGACGACCGTCCAGAGGCAATGGCAAACTACTGGACGTAAATTTGCCTAGAAAAACCACGCAACAGCCAGGGGCTGTTGGGGCTGGTTCTGCAACGTCCTGTAAAGGATACGCAACTAAACTTTTATAATCTTCCACCTCCAGCACTATTTTATTTTACATCTACATCAGTTTCCCCAGTTCACCCTACCCAGGGTCTAAACTAGAAACAAGCATTTTCTGAAATTGGTAGGACCATTGTGATTACTAGCAAGTGACTCATCGACAATGCTTTGCCAAGCCTTGCCTCATCCCAGTTGCTGTGCCGACGTTTGCATCATCGCCTTTGCAGTCTTGACCTTTAGGTCATCACCATTTCTGAAATTGACCCCGGGGTTGTTCACCAACAATCTTAGCTTGACCTGAACGATGACGTTCCTGAAAAATTAGATATACTCCTGTCTGACAGTGCTTATTCTAATATCTAATGCACTCAAAATACGCGGCGTGCAGTAATGAAATTGGCGATATCGTTAAGAAAAGTACCAGTATACACTCGTGTGCAGACTTATTGACTAAAAATGGTAGTAACTGAGAGTTCTATAGTTAAAGGAAGAACTGTGAAATGGGAACAACAGAGTCATCTGTTCTGTGACGAACAAGAGATGTGGGGGGAAAAAAAAGGGGGGGGGGGGAGTATGCGACGCGTGTACACAATAGTGTTTGTATCCAATAGAATGGAAGACTAAAAGGACTGACTACAGAACTTGTTAGCTATATATCTTCTTAGACTTTATGATTTCTAAAGAAATCAGTATAGTAATATTCCTCGTGTGGCTTACGGGGGGTCCATTAGGGGTGGGGAGGGGGTAGACTGGAGGGGGAGGTGGTAGACTAGAGGGGGGGGGGGCGGTAGGAATAAATGAAGGCCAAAAAACGGTTGCGGTATGAAGGTGTGAGCGTGAAGGTAAAGCGTTATACATACAGTGAATGCATGTTTCTTAAACTCTAATAATTGGTTAGTTTAACCTTTCGTTTGCTAGTAGACCTAATTTCTGTATCGCGAAAATATGTTTGGTTAGAAAGTGTGTCACCAATTTGCAAAGTTTTGAAAGCTCTGCTTTAGCAACTGTGTGACAGAAGGTTCCATAGTAATTTGTAACTTTGCCTTTTAATCCCAGTGGAGCATAAGGCCTCTGCCGACTAAAGCAGAGTCCTATGAGATAGCATGTTGCTTACCATATGTCCTCCTCTTTTTTTAAATCTCTCTCTCTCTCTCTATCTCCCCCTCCCTCCCTCCATGGCTCTTTTTTTTCTGCCCTGATTTTTTTATGCCACAGGGCGCTCTAGCTTTCTAACGTGTAGTTATTCTCAGGTGTTCTTAACGTCTATTCTAATCCAACACCAACGTCTGTTCATTATCTCTTGATTCACTTGAATATGTTTAGCTGAATCCCAGATCTCCACGTCAGTGATTTTCTGACATCATATAATTCTCTCTGTAGCAATCAACTGTCTATTTACTTATGATCCGTTACCAAGCAATCCAACGTCTATTAACTTATGGTCCTTTACCAGGCAATCACCGTCTATTTACTTATGATCCTTTACCAAGCAATCCACCGTCTATTTACTTATGATCCTTTACCAAGCAATCCACCGTCTTTTTACTTACGATCCTTTACCGAGCAATTCACCGTCTAGTTACTTATGATCCTTTACCAAGCAATCCTCCGTCTATTTACTTATGATCCTATATCAAGCAATCCACCGTTTATTTACTTATGATCCTTTACCAAACAATCCACCGGTTGAACGTGACGATGTAATAAAAAAATTCGCAAAGCAAGCAAGCACCGCAGAAACACTGCAAGAGTCCTTTTTAGTGCTATTTGGTAGCCAGCAGTGCTAAGCCAGGCTATATGCCACAGATAACCTAGTCATAATTATAACCAGAAGCTCATCCTTGTGAGGATGCTGGTTGAAATTGACGATTTTGTGTGTGTGTGCAAAGCAAGTCAGTCAAGACACATAAATTACCATCGCACGACACACCTTCACGCTGCAGCCAACAAACTAATGTGTCTGGACACCCAGTTTAGACAGCTCTGCTGTAAAGACTTTTAAGCACCCAGACTTTGGTCAGTAACCACAATGACACAGGATTAACCGATTTGAACAGAAGGGATGTTACAAGACATGTAGGGACATCCTAGGGTTTCCTACCTCGTTGGTCAGCCTTCTGATGGTTCTGAAGGTGAATCCTCCACTAACAGGGCAGAAGCTTGGTTCATCATTCCAAGGAGCTGGAAATATATTATCATATTATCATATATATATATATATATATATATATATATATATATATATATATATATATATATATATATATATATATATATATAATATATATATATATATATATCAGTGTGTATTCATCATCATCATCATCATCAACATCATCATCATCAACATCATCATCATCATCAACATCATCATCCTCATAATCATCATCGTCCTATTGTGTTGTTAGAAACATATCCAAATAGTGATGCAGTACAAATAGTGATACAGTACAAATAGTGATACAGTACAAATAGTGATACAGTACAATTAGTGATACAGTACAAATAGTGATGCAGTACAAATAGTGATGCAGTACAAATAGTGATACAGTACAAATAGTGATACAGTACAAATAGTGATACAGTACAAATAGTGATACAGTACAAATAGTGATACAGTACAAATAGTGATACAGTACAAATAGTGATACAGGGTAGTATGTTTACCAGGTGTTGTATAGGCTATATAGTAAAATACTCAGAGACGGGGTGCAAATCTCAAAGAAGACAATACTCGGGAATGCTATATCTTTTGAAAAAAAATACTCCCTGGGCGCTATGACATATTCAACGGATATTTTTGTGGTTTACGGCTAGGGTAATTTTATAAGAAAGCGTCGCTGCAACTACAATCGTCCATGCACTCGGCATGGATAAAACATGACTTCCCCATAAAGCCCTCATATGGACACCGGAAGGGAAAAGAAAACAGGGAAGACCAAGGGGAGAATCTACGTAGAACCATCACCAGGAAAGGCTCAACCATGGGCCTAACAAACAACCAAGACCTAAAGCAGGTGGCAACGAACCGCCAGACATGGAGGGCTATGACCTCAGTCCTATGCGCCGACCTAGGTCCAAGAGGAAAAACTAACTAAGTAACACTAGGTTGCGATATCTGCTGGAAAACAATTGACAGGGTTATAGGGTTTATGATGCTATCTTTATATAGGTTTGATAGACATTTTTTTAAATCGACAAACCTCATGTATATGATTCTAGATATATATATATATATATAAATGTAATATATATATATATATATATATATATATATATATATATATATATATATATATATATATATATATATATATATATATATATATATATATATATATATATATATATATATATATAGTGAGAAATAAAACAGCCGATAAAGACCTGGGTGCAAGGTGCCAGGCTTAATTAGGATATATACAAAAAAATATGCAATCTATAAGATAAAGGGTATATTGTGCATGTCGATTCTTCGTAGGCTACTGAAGAATGGGACGACGCACATGTGGGAATGTCCCGAGTGCAGTAATGTCAATTCTTTATTTATTCATTCATTCATTCATTCAATCATTCATTCATTCATGTACCTGTCCACGGCCACTCATCGAGAATAAGACCAGCAGGATCACACAGATCAGCATCATTGGTGTCTCTCACCGGACCTGGTCAAGGACAAAGCAACAGTGGACTATTATACATCATTCCAAACATAAACGGTTATACTGTTTAAGTTAAAGGTAAAGGTAACGCCGGGAAATGTGAAACAGCGTCATCGCACACGGTTATAAACCATAAGTGCTCTGTCAACAGTACGGACAGCTGATAAGAAACTGTCCGCCTGTGTCGCCGTCCGCACGCAGCTCCGTAGCTACAGCGACGTTCCTCTATTTCCCCAAGAGTGTTAACTCTGGTACCCATTACCTAGAGGCTAGGTGAACCACGGGAACCGTTTGGTTTCGAACACCGGCCCTGGGCTGCAGCGATTGGCAGCTAGATTTGAAAGCGAATCTCCTATCGACTGCGCTAACGCGGCCTTATTATTATTAGACTGGTTTCATGAATAAGGCTTATTTGAACTTTCTGTTACAATTATGTCCATCATTTCTTGCAGTTGTATTTTATTTTCCGATACTAAAACAAATATTGTCGTCATATCGCAGGTTGCTTGAGTTGGGGTAAGATGAGTCCAGAATTGACATCACAGCACTCGGGGAATTCCCTTGCGTGCTCCGTTTTCATCTTCAGCAACCAGCGCAGAGTTCAAGTACTGATCGTACCGGTCACAATCTGGTTATATGTCTGTCTTGCGTTACCTTTGAGTAGTGGACCGGCCAGACCCTCTGGTTACACCCAGGTGCATCATTCTCTCCAGGCCATTATAATCTTGTGTCTCTCCTGATTTCGTTGCTTGTTGCCAAGGGGCCTTGACAACGTCTGCCTTTTCATGTATCAATTCACCACCCAGTGGTGCAGATTCAGCCAATCATTCTGCCTTTTCATTACCCACTATGCTAGCATCGCCCAGAGAAAAGATCGCAGGTTGCTCACACATGCCATGTGTCTTGCCGAATAATAAAGAACTCAGGGCTCTCACGTTGAAGACCCCGGGTCGATCCTCTGTAATTTTGGAGATCACCTTCCACGTAACTAAACCATTTTTTTCAGATGAAACAAATGCTTAAAAACGATTTTCTCAAAACCGGGATGTAGTAATTAGATGACTGTGGCGTAGTGCCAAAGAACTGTGCAAAGAGACACACATATATATCCCATGGACTTACCCTCGTAAACTTGAACTACGTTGTTGCTCCGTTTGACGAACTTCATACATGTAAATCGGTGCGTTCTGGTGACCACAAAATTCGTGATTAAATGCACATCAACATACATGAATGAACAAATTATTCCACGAATGAACGCATGCGATAGTGGATTAATGAATGGGATGTAAAATTGTTGCACACACGCATCTTTGAGTGAATAATTTATTGAAATGTGTGTGCGATGGATCGAAGTAATGAATAGATTGCCGTGAATTGTTGTGTACAAGTCGACCCAGTGTAAGAGTCGACATGGTGTACGCCAACCTGGTGTACAAGTCGACGTGGTGTACGAGTCGACCTAGTGTACGAGTCGATACGGTGTGCGAGTCGACCTGGTGTACACCGACCTGGTGTAAAGTCGACATGGTGTACAAATGGACCTGGTATACGAGTCGATCTGGTGAACGAGTCGACCTGGTGTACAAGTCGACCTGGTGTACAAGTCAACTTTAATAATTTTACCTAAAAAGTCTGAGCAGGGCAATTTATGTCAGCGTCTGGGGTTTAGGCGTTTCGAACGCCGGTTCTATCCGAGCTGCAGGCGATTTTTCACTTTGCGTTGGTTTCGACACTGGTATTGAGAGCCGACCGTTCACAGGCAGTGGCAAACTAACGAATATACAATTTGCCTAGAAAAACCACAATAGCCATAACATGTTTGAGTTAGTTCTGCAACGTCCCGTGAAGTATACGCAAGTATCATTATATATCAGCAATGTGTCCGGCTCTCTAGCGTAGTTAGCTAAACCGGACTGCGCGGTGACCGAGTGACGAACTCCTTGTGGTCCGGGTTCACTCCCGGGGATAGGCAGAAAAGCCATATTTTCTCCCAGATTTACAGTACCTATCATGGAATCAAGGCCAAAGGGTTGCGATATCCATAGTATTGAGCCAAAGGGTTAACAACTCATGGCTTCTGGATCCCAAAAAAGAATTTTTTAGGCTTGAAAACCTGACTTTTAAACGCCGAAACTTACGGTTATTATTGAATGGACACCCCCCCCCCCCCTCCCCCCCCCCCCCCATCCCCCCTCCCGCTTTAAATAATAGATTAATACAAGAGTTATGGGAACTGCCGTATCAGAAAAGCAAAAAGATACTGCAACGGGATGATAACATGCAATGGGTATGGGAGGGTACTTACTGTTTTCAAAGAATAGTAAACTACTTCCGTTGACTTTATTGGTTGTTGGTTTGTGCTTTCATATCAATGTTTTTGTAATTTTTGGGAAGGGATCATTAACATCATCGTCACCATCATTATCATCATCATCACCATCGTCATGGTCATTAATGTCATCGTCGTCATCATCACCATTCATCGTCATCATTATCTTTTTCTTCTCCTTATCCTCTTTCTTCTTCTTGTTCTCCTCCTCCCCTTCTTCTTCTTCTTCTTCTTGTTCTTCTTGTTTTTCTTGTTCTTATTGTTCTTGTTCTTCTTCTCCTCTTTCTTCTTTTTCAGAAAGCAACATCTTCCTCGATTTCTTCGACACCCGAAGCAATAGAAGTGGGGGAAAAAAATTCCCAGTACTTGTTCTGAAATTATTTTTTTTTCCTGGTATCAAAGCGTTAAATTGAACTCTCTATGTTTGATAATTTATTTATTCGAACTGAATAACCCGCTAAGGAATCCTGGCCATGTGATTTAAGAAAAAATTCCCCAGCTCTACTGCTGTCCACTTTCGATATGATGACTGCAATTAATCTGAAAGTTCTGCCACGAACTGCCATGTTTCCGTTGCCCACTGTTTTTCCCCCCTCCTCCCCCCCCCCCTTTTTTTTTATAGCGTGACGAAGGTTACACTTTCACACACTAAATGAAGCTTCGAGCCCTCGTTCGCATATCCTGACTTGTTGCGTGTCATAGCGCTATGGAGATAGGGATTACCCATTGGATTCGTGCAACTTGTGTCGGCGCTGCTGTATACTTTACATGCTCTGATAATCAGAAAACCGAGGATGCGGTCGAATGTGACTTTTTGAACTAACAATTTGGTTAATCGGGCACGGCTACAAGAAATTAAACACATAGCCTAGTTTAGAAATTTGGGAGGTAATTACAAGGGATGTTGCTTCCAGTTTATTGTCGGATGGAAGTTTTTGTGAAGATTTGACTTTGTTTAAATTAGAAAACGATAAAGGAACTAGGATACGTTTAGCCGAATGTATACTGAAACACTTACAACGTGGTAGAAGCATATTGTAAGAGTAAACTAATTAGGGGATTCCTTCCCAAAAGAAGAAGACGAAACAGAAGACAACACAGAAGAGGAGGAGGAGGAAGAAGAAGAAAAAGAAGAAGTGGAAGAAGAAAAAGAAGAAGAAGAAAAAGAAGAAAAAGAAGAAAAGAATGAAAAAAAGAATGAGAAAAAAAAAAAAAAAAGAAGAATGAGAAGAAAAACAACAGCATTAACAACACAAATAACAGTAACAACAACGATGGGATAGCAATAACAACAGACAGTGAAAGTACTGAGACTGGTTTTGACTGACTGAATGCCACTGCTAATATCCTTGTTTCTTGCATACACGGCCACTGATTTTATTCATGACCTATTCCACAAGCGATCACTGAAAATATCCTTGTTTCTGAGTAAGGTCTGAGTGGTCTCGAGGTAGGGCTGAAGGTTCTGGGTTCAAGCCCCAGTGAAAGCTCGAATTTGTCACATGGACTTTTAGTAATTTTACTGGTCTCTGGGTAGTAAAATCGGATGCCCGTGTGTATTGTTGCGCTTGTAAAAAAAATCTCTTGGCAGATGATAATAGGAAAACTGAAGCCTAGCAGTGTTGCCCGGGTAAAATTTAGAGTTGAAAATCTACTCAAATTATTTCAGGATCCTGGCAATGGGATTCGTGCACTGCGCTGAGATTCTTCAGACTCAGGCTTGAATTAAAAGTAGAATGGAGCACTTATGGGTTACACCCGTGTGCCATGATGTTGGTCAGTTTCATAAACCATATACCATTCTTTTTTCTTTCATATACGGATGTTATTCTTGACTTCTTTCACAAGAAACCACTGCTACTATCCATGTGTCTTCCGTCCACTGCTAATATCCTTGTGTCTTCCATCCACTGCTAATATCCATGTGTCTTCCGTCCACTGCTAATATCCTTGTGTCTTCCATCCACTGCTAATATCCACGTGTCTTCCATCCACTGCTAATATCCATGTGTCTTCCATCCACTGCTAATATCCTTGTGTCTTCCATCCACTGCTAATATCCTTGTGTCTTCCATCCTCTGCTAATATCCACGTGTCTTTCATCAACTGCTAATAGTCTTGTGTCTTCAATCCACTGCTAATATCCGTGTGTCTTCCACCCACTGCTAATATCCCTGTGTCTTCCATCCACTGCTAATATCCGTGTGTCTTCCATCCACTGCTAATATCCATGTGTCTTCCATCCACTGCTAATATCCTTGTGTCTTCCATCCACTGCTAATATCCTTGTGTCTTCCATCCACTGCTAATATCCATGTGTTTCCCATCCACTTCTAATATCCATGTGTCTTCCATCCACTGCTAATATCCATGTGTCTTCCATCCACTGCTAATATCCATGTGTCTTCCATCCACTGCTAATATCCATGTGTCTTCCATCCACTGCTAATATCCATGTGTCTTCCATCCACTGCCAATATCCATGTGTCGTCCATCCACTGCTAATATCCACGTGTCTTTCATCCACTGCTAATAGTCTGGTGTCTTCCATCCACTGCTAATATCCGTGTGTCTTCCATCCACTGCCAATATCCTTGTGTCTTCCATCCACTGCTATTACCCATGTGTCTTCAATCCACTGCTAATATCCATGTGTCTTCCATCCACTGCTAATATCCATGTGTCTTCCATCCACTGCTAATATCCATGTGTCTTCCATCCACTGATAATATCCATGTGTCTACCATCCACTGCTAATATCCATGTGTCTTTCATCCACTGCTAATATCCATGTGTCTTCCATCCACTGCTAATATCCGTGTGTCTTCCATCCACTGCTAATATCCTTGTGTCTTCCATCCACTGCTAATATCCGTGTGTCTTCCATCCACTGCTAATATCCATGTGTCTTCCATCCACTGCTAATATCCTTGTGTCTTCCATCCACTGCTAATATCCATGTGTCTTCTATCCACTGCAAATATCCACGTGTCTTCCATACATTGGTAATATCCATGTGTCTTCCATCCACTGTTAATATCCATGTGTCTTCCATCCACTGCTAATATCCATGTATCTTCCATCCACTGCTAATATCCATGTATCTTCCACCCACTGCTAATATCCATGTGTCGACATCCACTGCTAATATCCACGTGTCTTTCATCCACTGCTAATAGTCTTGTGTCTTCCATCCACAGCTAATATCCGTGTGTCTTCCATCCACTGCTAATATCCTTGTGTCTTCCATCCACTGCTAACATCCTTGTGTCTTCCATCCACTGCTATTATCCATGTGTCTTCAATCCACTGCTAATATCCACGTGTCTTCCATCCACTGCTAATATCCATGTGTCTTCCATCCACTGCTAATATCCATGTGTCTTCCATCCACTGCTACTATCCATGTGTCTTCCATCCACTGCTAATATCCATGTGTCTTCCATCCACTGCTAATATCCATGTGTTTTCCATCCACTGCTAATATCCATGTGTTTTCCATCCACTGCTAATATCCATGGGTCTTCCATCCACTGCTAATATCCATGTGTCGTCAATCCACTGCTAATATCCACGTGTCTTTAATCCACTGCTAATAGTCTTGTGTCTTCCATCCACTGCTAATATCCGTGTGTCTTCCATCTACTGCTAATATCCTTGTGTCTTCCATCTACTGCTAATATCCTTGTGTCTTCCATCCACTGCTAATATCCATGTGTTTTCCATCCACTGCTAATATCCATGTGTCTTCCATCCACTGCTAATATCCATGTGTCTTCCATCCACTGCTAATATCCATGTGTTTTCCATCCACTGCTAATATCCATGTGTTTTCC